CCCCCAGGTCCTTCACCAGAAAATCCATTTCTATGAGGCCTCCAGGTCCTTCACCATAAGGTGCATTTTTATGGGACTTTCACCACAAGACGTATTTTTCTAGGACTTTAAGGTCCTTCACCATAAAATCCACTTTATGGGACCTCCAGGTCCTTCACCATAATGTGCATGTATATGGGACTTTCAGGTCCTGCACCACAAGATTCATTTTTATGGGACTTTAGGGTCATTCACCATAAAATCCACTTTATGAGACTCTGAGGTTCTCCACCACAAGATGCATTTTTATGGGACCTCCAGGTCCTTCACTGTAAGGTGCATTTTTATGGGACTTTGAGGTCCTTCACTATAAAATCCACTTTATGGGACTCTGAGGTTCTTCTCCACAAGATTCATTTCTATGGGATTTTGAGGTCCTTCACCAGAAGGTGCATTTTTAAGAGATTTGAGGTCCTTCACCATAAAATCCATTTTTATGGGACCCCCAGGTCCTTCACCATAAGGTGCATTTTTATGGGGCTCCCAAGTCCTTCACCACAAGGTGCATTTTTATGGAACTTTAAGGTCATTCACCATAAAATCCACTTTTATGGGACTTCGAGGTCCTTCACCATAAGGTGCATTTTTATGGGATCTCCAGCTCCTCTACCACAAGGTGCATTTTTATAGGACTTTAAGGTCATTCACCATAAAATCCACTTTATGGGACTCTGACATTCTCCACCACAAGATTCATTTCTATGGGATCTCCATGTCCTTCACCAGAAAATCCACTGTTATGGGACTCTAAGGTTCTCCACCATAAGATCCATTTTTGTGGGACTCCAGGTCCTTCACCAGAAGGTGCATTTTTATGGAGCTCTGAGGTCCTTCACCACAAGATNCACAAGATGCATTTTTATGGGACCTCCAGGTCCTTCACTGTAAGGTGCATTTTTATGGGACTTTAGGTCATTCACTATAAAATCCACTTTATGGCACTCTGAGGTTCTCCACCACAAGATTCATTTCTATGGGACTTTGAGGTCCTTCACCATAAGGTGCATTTTTATGAGATTTGAGGTCCTTCACCATAAAATCCATTCTTATGGGACCCCCAGGTCCTTCACCACAAGGTCCATTTTTATGGGACCTCCAAGTCCTTCACCACAAGATGCATTTTTATGGGACCTTCAGGTCCTTCACCAGAAAATCCATTTCTATGAGGCCTCCAGGTCCTTCACCATAAGGTGCATTTTTATGGGACTTGGAGGTCTTTCACCACAAGACGTATTTTTATGGGACTTTAAGGTCATTCACCATAAAATCCACTTTATGAGACTCTCAGGTTCTCCACCACAAGATGCATTTTTATGGGACCCCCAGGTCCTTCACCATAAGGTGCATTTTTATGGGATCTCCATCTCCTCTACCACAAGGTGCATTTTTATAGGACTTTAGGGTCCTTCACCATAAAATCCACTTTATGGGACTCTGAGGTTCTCCACTACAAGATTCATTTTTATGGGACCCCCCAGGTCCTTCACCAGAAAATCCATTTCTATGAGGCCTCCAGGTCCTTCACCACAAGGTGCATTTTTATGGGACTTGGAGGTCTTTCACCACAAGGTGCATTTTTATGGGACTTTAAAGTCCTTCATCATAAAATCCACTTTATGGGACCTCCAGGTCCTTCACCAGACGGTGCATTTTTATGGAGCTCCGAGGTCCTTCACCACAAGATGCATTTTTATGGGACTTTAAGGTCATTCACCAGAAAATTCACTTTATGGGACTCTGAGGTTCTTCTCCACAAGATTCATTTCTATGGGACTTTGAGGTCCTTCACCATAAAATCTATTTTTATGGGACCCCCAGGCCCTTTACCACAAGATTCATTTCTATAAGACTTTGAGGTCCTTCACCATAAGGTGCACTTTTATGGGACTCTGAGGTTCTCCACTACAAGATTCATTTTTATGGGACCCCCCAGGTCCTTCACCAGAAAATCCATTTCTATGAGGCCTCCAGGTCCTTCACCATAAGGTGCATTTTTATGGGACTTTCACCACAAGATGTATTTTTATGGGACTTTAAGGTCCTTCACCATAAAATCCACTTTATGGGACCTCCAGGTCCTTCACCATAATGTGCATGTATATGGGACTTTCAGGTCCTTCACCACAAGATTCATTTTTATGGGACTTTAAGGTCATTCACCATAAAATCCACTTTATGGGACTCTGAGGTTCTCCATCACAAGATGCATTTTTATGGGACCTCCAGGTCCTTCACCAGAAGGTGCATTTTTATGGAGCTCTGAGGTCCTTCACCACAAGATTCATTTTTATGGGACCTCCAGGTCCTTCACCAGAAAATCCATTTCTATGAGGCCTCCAGGTCCTTCATCATAAGGCGCATTTTTATGGGACTTGGAGGTCTTTCACCACAAGATGCATTTTTATGGGACTTTAAGGTCCTTCACCATAAAATCCACTTTATGGGGCTCTGAGGTTCTCCACCATAATGTGCATTTTTATGGGACTTTGAGGTCCTTCACCACAAGATTAATTTTTATGGGACCCTGAAGTCCTTCACCACAAGATTAATTTTTATGGGACCCCCAAGTCCTTCACCACAAGATTAATTTTTATGGGACCCCAAGTCCTTCACCACAAGGTGCATTTTTATGGGACTTAAAGGTCCTTCACCAGAAGGTGCATTTTCCTGGCCCCCCCAGGTCCTTCCCAAGCAGCCCTGTGTGATCCCCCCCCCCGGGGCCCTCACCACTTCCATGTAGAGCACGGAGACGTCGAAGTTGGGGTTCTTCTTGACGTTCTTGATGACGCAGGACTGCACCAGCTGCCCCCCGCACTCCACCAGCAGGCTGGGCGAGGTCACGCTGGCCAGCTGGAAGCTCTTGAGGTTCCTCAGCCCCCAGGCCAGGATCTGCAGGGGAGGGGACAGCAGAGACTGACCCACCCCCCTGCCACCGGCTCTGTCACCGAGCTGTGTCACCGAGCTCCTCGCCAGGGGAGGGGAACGTGAGGGGTGGCCCTCCATGGAGAGGTGACCCAGTGGTGGGAAAAGCCGGGTGTGCACGGAATCCCTGAGGCTGGAAAAGCCCTCCAAGGTCACCAAGTGCCCCCTGTGCCCGATGCCCCCCTTGTCCCCCAGCCCAGAGCACTGAGTGCCACGGCCAGGCCTTCCTGGGACACCTCCAGGG